ATTCCTGTTTTATCTTCTCGTCTACTTCTATATAAGTCCTCGTAAAACTCTTCGACAACCTGTATTAACTCGTCTCTACGTGATATTATTTCATTTTGCTTGTTTCTTAATTTATGAATTTCGCATAGAAGACGGTACAATAAGAAAAAGGTTCTTGTGTAACCTAGAATATTTTGTGAAACTTTATGTTTGTTTTTTATGTTTTTCCCATTGCTCTTTCACGTTTTTAACAAAATGCAATTTCTTCTAATTATGTAACTTCGCTTGGATTTGAAAAAATATATTAAAAAGTCGAAAATCATGATTATAGGTAGAAATAATTATCCAACTGCAAAGATATGGAAGACTTACCTGGAGTAAGGAAAAGCTAAAATAAGAAAGTATTACCTAGAAATTACCGCCATGCCAGAAAATTTTTTGCATATATAAGAAGTAAGAAGACTGCGTACTTAGGTCACATATTACAGAAGACCAATACACTTCTCAGCAACTAGCACTAGAAAGAACGATGAAGGGTAAAAGATGGTAAACAAGAATGGTTGCGTTACATTCTCAAGTGGACGGAAATCCATAGGTATGGAATATTTTCTATTACTTCCATGAATATAGAACAATTTATATATGAAATGTTCATAATAATAAAATAATTTAATCCTGACTCACACATCTCAGTTAAGAAGAGTGTATGCGCTTACGCAGAAATGGTGGCACCGTAAGAAGAACAGGAAAAGATCGCCCTTTTAATTTAAGGCTATTGATTATGGTTAAAAAAAAATAGGGCTGAAAATTTATTCAAAAATTAAATTTGAAGTTTAGTGAAAGTATGTTAGATTTACAGTGTCCCAGGTACCATTTTTCAAAGTTAGCCATTCGCACCATTTTTTGACCATTTTCCCTATATTTTTTTTCCTATAACTTTTTTCTACACAGTTTTAGGTATATGCAGTGAAAGACTTAAATGAAAAAATCAATTACCTTTAAACTGGTCTATAGTAGAAGGTTCTAGGACTAGTTTTCAGCAAGATACGGTTCTTTAAAGTTTTCTACTCTTAACGATTTTTGCGGCAAGTTTTACGGCAATTTTTTTTTAATTTCTTATAAATTTTTTTCTTGTGCATTTAGGTATGTGCATTACTAAATAAAAAAGGAACCTTTTTTTTTATAATTTTAAAATAGTCTTTTATAAAATATTCTACCACTAACGGTAACTAAGATATGGTTCGTCAAATTGTGATACTTGCAACGATTTGTATATAAGGAAAAGTAACAATGGCACTTACTTACAAATTTGAAATTACGCGTATTGTTGGGTTGCTATATTAGGAGTAAATCGAAAGTAAAACTTTTATTATAAGTTTCAAAATTTTGATTCATTTTTTTTATTTCTGTAAATGTGTCAGATGTCAATGTTACCCACACTCTCAAAAAAACATTGACAATCAATATTAACTACGTTATAAACCAATATCTACTAATGGTCAAGTAACATTGACATACAATAAGTTAATTATGTACCTGTTTTTAGTACAAAATTTATTCCCAACCCCCAACCCAAATTTATTTCCAAAATTTAAACCCAAAAAATTCGAAAATAACAAGAATCAAAGTTAACAAATAGTGATCGTTTCTATTAACGCAAAATCTAAAATAAATATGTGCATCCCACGCCGAGTAGTCGAATTTGGTAGGACCCTTAGTATATATTTTAGCAAAACTGAGGCTTCGTCAGCAACGGTAGCTTTCTTATTTGAGTCACTGCTACTTCAATACCTTTGGAAATAATTTCTGTTGCCTTACCAATGTAATGATGGAATTCATTCCTACGATTATCAATTGTAAATTTTATCAAAACCCAAGAGTTAATCCCAATTTTGGTAGAATCATGCTCTTTCGTTTATGCTACTATATTGGGAATATCATCTTCATCTTTCAATAGAAGCGCATCTAAGTCTGAATCGTCATCCATTCATAAACTAACTTCGCTCTCAGAATTTGATTCAATTGTTTTCTTTTTCGCCTTTATCGGCTATTTATTGGTTTTTTTCAAACTTCTTGCAGCGCTTTCTGAACGAATTTTTTCCAAAAACTCCGCAAAGTAAGACATTCAGCAAATTTACTTCGAACTCTATTCTGTTTCAGTATTTCTGGTCTTTTTTCGTGCCTATCTAGTGCTGATAATAATGAGAGTTCTAAGGTTTTTTCGGTATTACATCTTTCTGTATGATGGCTAGACGTACTGGTAGAATTTACATCATCTGACTGAAAGTTGCGATTAATCTGAAGTTCTAAATTTTCTGGAAAAATTGGAGCAGCTCCTTCTTATTGTAAATCTGAAATGGACGTGTTGCTGATGGCACTTCATATTTTTGTAATATCATATCCTCATTTAAGGGATAAATACCTGACCCTACAAATCCGCCAAATTGCAATTGCTATAGAGAAACATCCTGTCCCGACCAATGTTTTAGGCAATGCAGGAAAAGTAATTTTGTCTACATTTATGAACAAAAGAAACCAAAACAATACAGCATGGTTCAGAAAAGAAATAAAAGAGAAATGTAAAGAGAGACTGTTTAATGGAAAGGAAAATAATAATCAACACAATAACGAACCTGAATTAAGACACGAAATAGAAAACAGTTTTTAGGAAGTAAAGATATCCATCAATTCACTCAAAAATAGAAAGTCACCAGGACCAGACGGAATAACCAACGAGATTTAAAAACACGGAGGAGAAAGTATAACCCTAGAGATGACAAAACTTACAAAAACTAATATTGCACTGCAAGATACCAGACGTATGGAGAAACAGCATACCAATGTTGATACCAATGTTCAAGAAAGGAGATAAAGAAGACCCCAACAATTATAGAGGTATAAATTTACTGAACACTTAAGTTTACCACAAAATTCCCAACCAACAAAATCAATAAACTAACAACTTTATTAGATGAACAACAAGGATTCAAATCCGGAAGACAAATCCGGAAAAAAATACTAAGAAAAAAATCACAGAAAAGTTCATCGAGTACAATAAACCAGCATACCTATCCATGTTTTATCTCTCTGACAAAGGCTTTTGATCGCATTCAAGTCGAAGACGTCTTACATCTACTGTGTAAAAGAAACGTACCAATCAATATTATACAAACCATCAAAAACATCTACTTCCATAATCGAAAACAGGCAAAGATAAATGGAAAACTAACACAGTGTATACTGTGTGTATAAGCAGTACGTAAACCTCATGGTTATAGAATGGGGAACAAAGAAATCGAAATATTATGGTATGCAGACGATGCCGCATTAATCGCCTAGACACAACACGAGCTCCATAGATTAACACACATCTTCAATACAACAGCCAAGAAATACAATATAATAATATCAGCAGAAAAAGACAAATGTATGACTACGTCTAAATATCCACTACGATGTAAAATCGAAATTGATGGGAAAATAATAAAGCAGAACACAAGGTTTAGGGAATAGCTATAAATAGTTACGGATATGTTGAAGATGAAGTACGACAACGAAGCTTAAAATCAAGTAAAGCGGCGGGATCTCTTAATGACACAATCTGGTAGAACAAACACCTAAGACAAAAAAACAAGAATCTATAAAGCAGCAATTAGACCTATATTAACATACACGGCGGAGACAAGACCTGACACATCTAAAACAAGAAGACTATAGTTCGCCAAATAGGTATAGCTGAAAGTGTGAAAACGCGTGACGATCATAATGCACATACATCAAACGACGGACCTCGCACTCGCACTGACGGTCCAGATCGTTTGTATGTGCGTTCTCACTTAATTGTTACCGCAGGCAATGGGAATTTCACACTTTCAATATCAGGGAAAAGTCTGAAGTCTGTTGGATAGGGAGAGAAGCGAAAACATAGGAGCATACAATAGAGAAGATATAAATGGATAGGTGACAAAACGGAAACGGAAGTGGAACGAACACATTAGGAGAATGGCAGAGGATAGAATAGTACGAATAGTACGACGAAGTCACCAAATGGACGAAAAAGTACTGGCAGGCCAAGAAAAAGATGATGCAAAAAATTAAACAATTTAGGAGGCTAATATTGAAGAAGAAATAGGCTTTAAAATCTACTACAAGAAGGAAGAAGAAGAAGTCATTGAAGAGGAAAAATAAAAGTTTATTTAAAGCAATGCGAAAAATCGTTGATGTTCCTTTTTTTAGTTCGTTTTTGAATAAAAAAATACTCTTATCTTTAAAAGGCGACAAAATTTCGATAAGAAATTTAATTGTAGATTTATAAAACTTTTGTGTAGATGTATATGTACGAAAACTGCATAGAATTCACACAAATCCACCCTAATGCATAGGGACTCATTCTGAGCTTTGAATGGTAGCAATGCGCGGTTTTTTAATATTTGGGATCCACTGACCATATGAAACAATAAATCCCCTGTAACATTGTAGTTTCTTTTTAAAGTACATAATCAATAGCCTATTAGTAAAATTCAGAAATGATTGTCCAATATATCGACCAAAAAAACATCCTTCGCTTTTACTCGAAAATTAATTTTATTATTACTTAAATCACATAAAATGTCAAATTTGGATAAAATAAATTAGTATTATTAGAGTTTATGCCCTCAGATTCAAATATCACAATCCTCCAATGACGAAATAAGGTACATCATGCATTTCTTTTCCGTATATTTCTACACCTTACACGTATCTTTTTATCAGTTCACTTCAATGATATAAACGATAATATTATTGATACAATTTTTAACGAACTGAGGTGCTCATAAAATCGACAATCTCGCAATATTAAATAACTTATCTGGAATTCTGATTAAGTCATTTAGTAAATAATTCAATTAGCCTTACATCGAAGTATATGAAATGGATAGAGTCCCACAATTCATTAGTTTACCTTAGATAAAGGTACTGGCAAATAACACAAACTCATTTGTATATCTATCTAAACTGATAAGACGGCAAAAATACTTTACGCAGTCACCTCGATATTGTTTTCTTAAAACTAGTAGGTAACACCTTAAAAGACTTATGATGTTTGTTAAAGAAGTTTTAGTGTTGTTTTTATTTGTGGCACTGGACGTTGTTTCCAGTGAAATATGTAGCAATTCTAGTGAAAGTGGTTGCGACTGTAGCCAGTTTACCAATCCCAAGACACACCTTCCTACTTACTACGCGGATTGTAGAAGCAGAAATTTACAAGATATTCCGAAAAACATAGAAAATATAATACACATATTAGATCTGTCAATCAACAACATTCAAACGCTTGATCCAAAGAAATATAGCTTAAGCAGTGAAAATCTAGAAGAACTAATTCTTAGTTATAATAATATCACCTCCGTCGACGTCAGCTTTTTCCAGAATCTACGTAAATTAAAAAAACTGGACTTGAGCAACAATTTCATCGCTAGTTTAGATAATGCAGGTGTTTTTCAAAACCTTGTACATCTCGTGAAGTTAGACCTTAGTTTCAACAATTTAAAAACCTTACCGGACTTTATTTTCAATCCCCTAAGTAAACTAACCCATTTAGATTTGAGCTACAACTATCTAAATGAACTCTTAACTCAATCAAAAGAAGTGTTGACGGACAAATTAGGGGTTACTTCAAATTTAACTTACCTTCGCATGGATGGTTTAGCTCTAAAGGAACTACCAGCTGGATATTTTGATAAGCTTGCTGCAATGAAAGGTCTATCATTGGCAGATAATGAGTTCGGACTCATCCCTACAGTTCCTTACACATTGGAACATTTAGACTTATCCGGTAATCAATTCACTTTCATCTCAGCCAAATATCTGAACTACCACTCCTTAAAAAGCCTCAAATTAAACAGAATGGCAAGTTTGACAGATATTCACCATTACGCTTTCTACAATCTCTTCGCTTTAGAAAAATTGATTATCAATGACTGTCCAAATTTACACCAATTTAGTGAACTGGCGTTTGATGTACTTTCCAAAGATATTGACCATCACCTCAAGATACTGTCTTTAGCTAGAAATGGTTTGAGAAGCCTGAATGAAACCTACAAGTATCTGTTTGTAAAAATGGACCATGTGGATTTATCGCACAATCATTGGGAGTGCGATTGCGATATTTTGTGGCTTCAACATTTTGCCTTGGAATTTTACAAGCCTCAGGAAATAAGGTAAGTGGAATTATAATAAATCTTTTAGTTTAAATGTTCAAATAAATACTCTATATAGGCAAAATACTCCTACCCTCCTAGAATCCAATTTTTTTATTTGTTTACGTTCTATGTGATTAAAAAATGAGACGCAGAGCAATTTTAACTCTTCCCCCAGGCTACCCCACCCCCTACTTACAAAAGCGTCATTGTTTCGATTTATTTACTTTTTTTCAATCAATTTAATTTAAAAATGTCAAAAAATTCACACGCATAGTTAAGGCTTTTCCAAAACTTCTGTATTTTTTATAGACCCATAAGTTGAGTGTACATAACCTAAAAATGGATTTTTTTGCAAATAACTTATAACTCTTTATTGAAGATAGCTGTAGGTCTAGTTTTTTTTCTATTTTATGTATTTAATCAAAAACTGTATTTATAATTTTTTCCAGATTTTTTCGTCAAGTGTGCCACCTCCAAAAACCAAAAATACTCTTTTTATATGGATTTTTGGAAATTTTTTCCATATTATAGTTTTAAAAATATGTAGATCAAATCGGGGATTTTTACAGATTATGTATAATTTCACGTAGGTATCTGGGTACTTTAGATCATTCAAAAATTGAGCAAAACCTTTAATCCCCCAAATCCCCAAATGAGAGAAATCCCCAAAAGCCTCTAAAAAACAATTTTTCGAGTTTTTGATACACAAAAAATAGACCTGCAGCTATCTCCTAAAAAGTTTTGCAAAAAAATCATTTTTAGGTTATGTACATGCAATCTACGGTTCTATAAAAAATAAACAAGTTTTGTAAAAGCCTCAAATAAACATCTCAATTTTTTGAAATTTTTAAATTGATTGCAACCTACCGAAAAAAAAAATAAAAATACGAAAATGACGTTTGTGGTGGTAGATGGTAGGGGGAGAGGGTGGTAAGATAAAATTGCTTATTTTTTAATCACATAGAACAAGAAAAAATTGAATTCTAAATAGAATTGAAGTCTAAATAGAAAAAAAAATGAATTCTGGGAGTGATGGCGTTTTGCCTATCTTAATGGGGAGATAACCTTTAAAGACCAATTTTTAATCGAGCCATTTACAGAAAAAAAGCTAAAGAAAGATTTCGTTGAAAAAAGCCACAGTAATAGCAAAATTTTACGCAGTTGAACCATCCTGTCTATAACAAATACCAAAAATTAGTTCCATAATATAATTTTTAACCCTCTCATGCATTGAGTCCACTCCAGTGGACAGATTTTTTTAACACCAAAAAAGATATTTTAATTCTATGAAACTTGTGCAAAATGCCTTTCAGTGGACTATAATCAAGTAACTGCTACCGCCATCTACAATATTTATTGAAAGTCAAATTTTGTTTATGTTAGTATGTACAAATTACCCATCGAGCAAAAAGATAAAAGAGGGAATCTAATCGTTATGAAAAGGAGACCAAAAAAGTGGCCTCTGATGGCGGACATATCCGGAAATGCAAAGGCGCTAAATTTAAATTTTCCAACACTTGTTAACAATACTTGTAAAATATTTTTCAGACAAGAAAGTTTTAAATAAATATCAACGATAATAGTCTAAAAAGTGACATAATTGGTAAAAAACTTCAATATAAATAAAATTTCATGTGACAGTTGGGACAAACAATAACATAACCAAACTAAATTTGACTTCTTAAACAAGGAAAGAGACTGTCTTTCCTTGTTTAAAGTGGCCTCTCAAGATAACACTTCCTGTCTAACAATATTTTTGTCCCCACTACCTTTACATTCCCTCTTTTATCTTTTTGCTCGATGAAATTACCTGACCGCGATAACAACCTTTGAATTGCCTGAAATAAGCGCTAAGTTTCTATGGAAAAGCAAAAAAAAGTTAAGAAAATATTTTTCTTATAGAATTATGTATTTTACACAATTAGCTTTTGTTATTATTTCAAAATAATTGTAAAACTCACTGAAAATATCACCTTGAAGTCATGTTCACTAGAGTGAACATCATGCACTATGTAACTTAAAATTCCATTCTTGTGGTATGTTTTATGTATGAGTATAATTTTCAGAGGGGATAGTAGATTGCTTGTTCACATATTTTTTATTATTTTCTTGTCAACGATTTATTATTTATTTAGGGATTTTCGAGTGCATGTACTTACCTATATAATTTTAGTAGAAATAAATAAATTTTATTTATTGACATAATATTACTTCTTCAACGGAAAACTGTATTCTATTTCAAAAGTACTTTTTGCCGATGAAGACGACAAAAGTGATGAAACACCTTTATGTTTTCCAGAAAATAAACAATTTGTAGGTATTGACAATGATGACATTATGATTTACAAGAAGGTTCAGATTTGGAATCTGATTACAATGACAAAGAGACGCATTCACTTGAACATGTAACGGGTGAAGACCAAATTGTTGAAAGTGACTTAGAAGAAATACAGCCAGAAAACGGTGACGATCATATGAGTGAAGATGACAATCCATTAGATCAGCGTATTTTGGTATTTTTATCAAAACATAAAAATCAAGAGAAACCCCAAAAAAGCCTGAGAAAAAACTGCAAATGGTGCAATAATGACAGCATGTATGGGCCAGCAACTTTGCCACAGTTTATAGGAACAGAAAATATTCATGTTCAAGGAAACGCGTAGACGCATAAATATAGTGATGGCGTAAATCAGATATCCAAAAATTCGGCTTAACTGGTCAAATGATAATGGCCTGAGGATGGACCATATTGCAGATGCTATGCCTGTTAATAGATTTGAATATATTTTTAGCTTTTTACACTTCGTAAATAATGATAACGTAAATCAAAATAACATAGACAAATTGCAAAAAATCAGACCATTTTTGGATAAAATACCAATCAGTTGATGAGCAAATTATTCCACTAAAAGGAAAATTAGGTATAAAGCAATACTTAAAAAAAAATTAAAAAGTGGGGAGTCAAAGTTTAGGTTCTTCTTATGGTGCCCTATACAATTAGTGGATGTTATCGACAATTCTGGAATACTCCTCGATCTTGTGTGGCTCTAAAAAGTGCATGGGCATCGAGATTTGTCCAATCCCTTATGTTTTTAAACCATGAGTATTTCTTTCTTCCGATGCCTCGTTTTCTTTCTATCTTCCCTCTCATAATAAGCTTTAAGAACTGGTACTTGGAATTTCGAAATATATACCCAGATGAGCAGTTTTTCTTCTTTTTATTATTGATAGCAATTCTCGTTCTCTGCCCATTCGATTTATTACTTCGACATTTGTTGTGTGATCTGTCCAGGGAATTTTAAGTAGTCTTCTAAATACCCATATTTCACAGGCTTCCAATCGGTTCATTATATTGGCCTTTATGGTCCAGGTTTCTACACCATATAGTAGTATGGAGTAAATGTAACATTTTACAAAGCGATATCAAAGCATTAAGTTGAGGCTGCTGTTGCTTAGTAAGGTTCTTATATTAGTAAATGTTGTTCTGGCTTGCTCAATCCTGCTACGTATCTTTATGTCTGGATCTAGATCTTCAGTTATCGAACTACCGAGATATCTGAACTTGGGGACCTTTTGGATGTTCTTGTTGTTTACTCTTAGTTTAGGTAAGAACTGGAATTAGTGCATATATGTATCGTTTTGGGCTTTGCCAAGGAGCTTTGGGAGACAGAAGTCAAATTAGTACTTAGAGCGTGCGCTGATGTAGTTTAGCATCTAACTGACGCATAAAGGAAATATATGGGCAACAGGAATTCTCCGATTAAATCGACTACAAAATTGTAATTCTGTTATGAAAACAGATAAATAAATGAAACAAGAGGGTAGGGAAACTTCATCCGTTGCAAGTACTGAAGGTGGAAATATAATTGTTTCTAAATGGCTAAACAACAAGACTATTACATTGTTTCTAATTGTGCTGGAATAGAACCTCAGAATAAAATAAAACGCTGGTGTAAATCTACTACTATAGAAGTGAACAGACCATTTTCTGTTCAGTTTTATAACAAAAACATGGGAAGAGTAGACCTAATGGACCAGTTGTTGGCCTTGTTTCCTTTAAGGAGAAACGCTGGTTAAGCCTGTTACCAAATACATAACCTGGTACATAAGAGTTTTTATGCATTTTGTGAATGTTCTTGTTGTAAATGCACGGATTTTGTACAAAAAAACGGAAATCCAAAAAAATATCTGATTGAATTTAAAGCAGATATTGCCAGAGCATTAATAAATTTGGGAACGCAGAATGAAAATAAATGAGGTAGACATTCGTCAGGTACCCCACCTCCCATTTTGAAGAAGAAGAAACCGAATCATCATGCACCTCCTGAAATTAGACAAAGTAATTGGGGGAACTGGCCACAACTAATTGATATACCAAATGCTCGAAGATGTCACTCTAAAGCTTGCAAAAGAAAAACAAAATACATCTACAAAAGGTGCAACTAGCCGCTGTATCCATTGTGTTTTGAACATTTTCATACCAGTAACTGACGCTTCGGCGATTCCGCTAAAAAAATTCCTTAAAATTATGCATGAGAGGGTTAATCAAGAATGTATTTTGTTCTCCTGAACTGAACGATAAAAATCAGACATATGAAAACCGGATCGACTCAACTGGTGAATTTGTTATGATCTTGTTTCCGCTTCCTTTGTTTAAAAAAATATAACTATACTGCCAATACAAAAGATCTATGTCTGTAATGTAAATAATAGAATAACTTATAGGAAAAATAGTATTAAAATATCTGAATATCATACCTATACTTTAAATAAAATATTGTTTTAGGTGTCACTCGCCAGAAGACCTCAAGCACAAACCAGTCTTGCAAATCAAAAACAGCGACCTAAAAGACTGCTTTCCTGCCATTTACGGAAAGAAGAGCCACAGATTGTTAATCGTTATTTTATCACTGGCGATTGTGGTACTATGTGGCCTCATATTTTTCCTCTTAAGGTATCCAGTAAGCAGTTTCAGTAGGTCCCACAGGATTGGACCTAATTCTCCATACAATTTGGCGTCAACGCATGAGTAAATTTAGGTTTTTTTGTTTTCTTTTATAATTTAGGTTTAGAAGATTTATTTACCTGCTGATTGTTTATTTTTACTTTTAAATCATACTGCTTTTGGCGTATTTTTGTTTTGTGCTTTGTACTTTTGTAGAACTTTTTTTTCTTTCTAGTCTGTACTATCGGTTTATTTTAGAATGTAGGTTCCAATGTAGGTTTACAAAAATGTTACTTTTGTTTTGGTTGCTTTTTTACTTCTCCATTTACTTAACTTTAAGTGTTATTAAATAAAGTACCTACCATTTATCTAATAGAGATTCTCTTAATAGGTAAACATAGCTTAAGACTTTTATTTTCAATGTGAAGAATTTGAAATTAATCATTAAAAGAATGATTATTGTCTAGAAGGTGAAGCGAGTACGTAGAATCTGTTTTTCTATTATTAAAAGCATTTTGTGTTCTGCTATCCGTTTGTTAAAAGTTCTACCAGTTTGGCCGATGTAAGTTTTTGGGCAGTCGTCACATTTAAGTTTGTATACACCACTGTATAATTGCTTTCTATTTTGGCTCTTGTTGTTATTAATATATTTGTCTAATTAAGTCAGGCCAAAGAAGAACATCCTAGCTCCGAAATCTCCGAGAATGGTATCAAGAGACCATCGCTTATTTATTTAGAGCCGCCGTAAACAAAGATATTATTGCCCATATGATCGCCAACGTTCGATAATCGAACAGGGTACTGAAAGAAGAAAAGAAGAATGTATATATGTTCGAAACGATTTCCGCGATTAGTAGAATTAAAGCTAAAACTAAGATTAATATTATTATAAAAAATAATATTAAACTCACCAGGCTTCCGGGTTTAACCTCGTCGATCATCCTCTCTGATGTCTTCTTTGCTTACTGCATACTTTGATAGATTTTTTTTAGTGCACATGAATAATTTCTTTCATCTCAATTTTTTTTTTTATTTTTTATAATACTGTTTTTTAAGATGATAAATTCCAATTTTGTTTTTATAATACTCTTTATGGTCTATTTAAATGAGAACACATCTTCGACAATAACTAAAGTAATCCCTTCTGGTTTTGGTAAGACTATTATATAGCAACTAAATAATTTAGCTAAGATTATGTTAATCTTTAATTTATAGTAATAAACTGATAATATATTAACTTGTAAATTATTTTATTATCTTAGTTTTTTTAATTTTCTCCATCTAATGACAATGAATACTCTCTCTGGAATTATAAATATGGAAAACAAACTCCTGGAAAATAAACTCCTAATCTACAAATCAATCCTAAAACCTGTATTGACATACGGAATAGATCGCTGCGGTAGTAACTTTTTTTTTGTGTGTTTTGGCTTGGACAATTGTCATTCAGCCAGTCTCAATCAAGATAAGTTTATTAATGTAGTGTGTGTGTGTGTGTGTGTGTGTGTGTGTGTGTGTGTGTTTGTGTGTGTAGAGTAATTGTCTTGATACTTAGCAAAGTCGACGTCATTGTCTTTGCTAAGAGACGGTAATTGTATCCGAACGTCTGCGATCCTTCCGGTGAGTACCGATCCTGCTAGTAACTTAAACCTTGAAATCCTCCAAAGATTTCAAAATAAGATCATGCGCACGATAGCAGATGGCCCGTGGTACGTAAGCAATAATCTTATCTACAGAGACTTGAAAATTTTCTCCGTAAAAACAGAAATGATACGTTACAGTGATAAACACAAACATAAAGCCAGTGATCATGGTATTTTCCTATGCTAAGAACATAGTGTAATATAAAACAGAGAAAAAAAAAGATTTTCTAATATTTTTTTTTCTATCGACACAAAAAGTACGATGTATCTTGCACAAGTAATCGAAAATTGATTTTAACTGTCAATTGCCAAAAAGGTAACTACAATCTTCACTAGCATAACCTACAAAATCACAAAATTCAATTTACCTAAATAATATAGAAGAATCCTTTTTCATCATGAATAAATTCCAGCATATCCCAAAAATTATTTTCCAGTGACTTATTTCCCTGCTACAATTTTGAATTAGAATATCAATTAACTTCTATCCCTATCAAGAATGTGCAATCTAATAAAGGTGATGAGCATGCATTAATTCAATTTCAAAGAATCTCACTTGACAATCCACTTCACACTATAATCTTTACAGATGGGTCAGTTGATAGTAAGGGCTCAGCAGGATTTGGTGTTTTTTGTCCTAACTTTGAATACTCATACTCTAGTAAATTTCCTACGCAGACTCAAGTTTGCACTGCAGAGATTGTTGCAATTCATCTTGCGGTTCAATTTGCTGAATCTTGTCTGATTCTAAGAGTGCTATCCAAATGATAGGGAAAATATCTAACTCAATGGAATCTGAAAATATCTCTATCATGACCAAAAGGGGCATTATAGAAGCCAATCAACAGAACATCAGTATTATACTGGCACTGATTCCAGGACATTCGGATATTAAGGGCAATTGTGTTACAGACAAATTGGCAAACATAGGAAGATCACTAAAAATGCCAGCCAGTTAAATCGAAATATTCAAACCACTTATTTTATATTACAAAGCTAATTTGAACTCGATGGGCGAAAGAATGGAATTCAAACAGATCAAAAGGATTATAGTAAAAAAGTCAATAAATGAAACAAATCACCATGGTTCATCAAATTACCTTAAAAAGACAGAAGGCATACACCATGGTAATTATAATGAGAACAGGACATTGTTCCACTCCAGTTCATTTATTTCGCATATGTGTTCGGGACAACCCATACTGTGAATGTGGTTAAATTGAATCTCTGAATCATATTATCCCAGAGTGCCCAATAAACGTTTCTCCAAATTTAGACCTCTACAAAAAATTGGTTAAAACAAAACTACAAACTCCTATAGAGATTTTCTCTCTCCTATACAACGTTAATCCTCAAAGACTAAATTTGTTGATTACTTTTTTTAATCTAGCCAAAATCAAGCTATAATAATTATATATTCCCTTCTTATATTCTACTATAACATAACCTTACAAATTCCTCTCTTTTTTAGACCTGGATTCTCTGACTATCATCCGTTGGTAGCATTTCTGATTTCTGGTATGTGTTCATACCAGAAACCAGCTTGGTTGCTACCCTCGAGCGAGAAAAGTTTTAATCTGTGTTGTACTGTATTTCCAATACTAACTGTTTCGCCCAAGAAGAAGAAGTTTCAACACGGTGTTCATTAAACATAAAATAATTGCAATTTAGTATTGGGGTTATATGGGGATATTCGATTGTCTAGAGCAAGTTAAGAATATCCCCCCTGAATTAGCTTGGCAAATTATCCGCTGGGATATTACTCAATAAAGGAAGAAGAAGAATCCTTAGAGCTTTTAAGGTTAAATATTTAAGGGTATTTCTTTATAGAAAACTAACATAGAAATCCCAGATAGATTACCTATTAGAAAGAAGTAACAAGGAACTAAACTTTCACATCGAAACAACGACATAAAAATTATTATTGGCGATCTTAACGCTAAAGTCGGTAAAATGACAATCTACCCACCAAGTGTTTGCTCCACAAAAATATCCATAAAGTCACGTGGCAATCACCAAACTCTGGCCACTACCTTGTCAAAGCATCTATATCTAACACAAAAAAGGCCACAGCACAAAGTCTTTAAGGTGCTAAAATCTGAAACCACTTGCAAATTTTGAATACTGGGCTAAATGAAACGAAGCTATGCACAGAGCGGCTAAAGGCGTTTTAAAATCTAACAAGACCAGAAGAAACGAAGATTGGTTCGACCAAGAATTTAGATCTATAAACCAACAAAAAACTGAAGCGTATACGAGACTCCAGCAGCACAGAACGAGATTAACTCTGAAAGGTTATGAAAACATTCTCCAAGAATCAAAGAGAAAGAGCAATACGTAAACATTCTAGACGAGAATGTTAATGACCATAACGGAAAAGATTCTACCAACAGATAAACAGCTGTAGAAAAGAATTCAAACCCAGAATAATAGCATATAAAGATAGGAATGTTTCTGTAATTAGTGATAAGGGACTGATTCTAAACAGATGGACGAATAATTCTTAAGAACTGCTTAATGGCAATCATGAAGATGAGATGGAGGTTCAGATGCTTCAAATCAATGAAAATGATCGGACATGTCCGATCGTTGCAACGAGTCACATGAAAATTGTAACTTAGGTATCAAGACAGCTTAGAGGATGATTTAAAATCTCTTGGGAGTTAGAGCATGGAAAAAAGTTGCTAGAAACAAGAGTAAATGGAGGATTATTCTGAAGAAGGCTTTTGCTCATAACGAGCTGTGATTCCAGTGATGATGATGAAACCTTCACATCTCAATATTCCTAAATAGCAGACTTCAAAAATTTAATATTTCACGTCAATTTATTACCACAATTATCAAATTTAAATTCTGGCATAAATCCTATCCTCAACATCTTTTGAATATACCTTTTTCGAGCGTTTAAAGATTATAGGTCAATCGAAAAACTTATTTAAAGATCTTTTGGGTTTGAATATTATTGCTCGGAGAAATTTGCTCCTTTTATTAAGACAAACAATTCTATGATTTTTTTGCCCAAAAATTGATTTTACCTTCTAGGTAACAGATTAGCTTCGTTATAAATTGTTTTTCCTTTTGTTATTTTACACACCTTCCGTAGAATACGTCTATACTCTGTTTTTTAACCAGGAGGAGTTAACCAAAAAGACAGATTCACACCCAAGAAAGTTAGTAGAAAAGTCACCAAATACATCTTCTTTTTTTGGTGATTATCTCGCCCTTGCGGTAATCGAGTAATCAATATCGGACAACCTCACACGTCAATTTTATTTTTAACCTAACTTTATTTATGTTTGAATAATAAAATAATTTTTTTCAATTCACTTCCAATATATATTACAATTATTACAATAAAAAAGGACGTTTTTCACATTTTGTCCCATGTATATATATTTAAATATCGGGTGATCCAGTTTTATAGATCTTTTGAGTCTATGGTATTTAATTATAATTTAGAGAATACTTTGATCGAGAGAGTCAATAATGTTACAGATCTAAGTATGGTTTTTCTCAGAAATTTGTCTTTTAATAGTAGACCATATTCTTATTCTGGTATGATCAATTTCTTGAATCTAGTTTTTTTTTCTTACCAGATACTTTGTATAAATAAGTGTGTACTTAAAATTTTTTTAATGCTGGATTCTTAATTTTGACAGTTGTTGTTGTTTGTTTGTGTTTAAATGACTGCGGACACTAAATCCATTCGCCAATCTTACAATTTGAGG